TTCTGCAGACTAAACAATCCTAGTTCCCTCAGCCTCTCCTCATAAGTCATGTGCTCCAGTCCCCTAATCATTTTTGTTGCTCTCCGCTGGACTCTTTCCAATGTTTCCACATCCTTCTTGCAGTGTAGGGCCCAAAACTGGACACAATACTCCAGATGAGGCCTCACCAATGTGGAATAGAGGGGGAATGATCACTTCCCCGTATCTGCTGGCAATGCCCCTACTTATACAGCCCAAAATGCCGTTAGCCTGTTGGCAACAAGGGCACACTGTTGACTCATATCCAGCTTCTCGTCCACTGTAACCCCTAGGTCCTTTTCTACAGAACTGCTGCCTAGCCATTTGGTCCCTAGTCTGTAGCAGTGCATGGGATTCTTCCGTCCTAAGTGCAGGACTCTGCACTTGTCCTTGTTGTACCTCATCAGATTTCTTTTGGCCCAATCCTCTACTTTGTCTAGAAGCTTTTTTCTGCGCAAAAAATTAAAAATCTGCGGGGCTCAACAATTATGTGCGCATGCAGTAGCGCAAAATTCCCCCAGGAGTATTTGTTGTAGCGAATCTTTTGCAAAATTTCTGGTAGCAGAGGGATGGCATATCTCACCACCCTGAAGGACCTCACTAGATATGCTTTTCCAATTTGACTGAGAACCACTGATAATTCCGGGAACGGTTTTCCAACCAGTTTTGCATCCACCTTATAGAAGCTCCATCTAGGTTGCATTTCCCTAGTTTGTTTATAAGAAGATCATGCGAGACATTATCGAAAGCCTTACTAAAATCAAGATATACCACATCTACCACTTCCCCCAACCACAAGGCTTGTCAAAGAAAGCTATTAGGTTGGTTTGACATGATTTGTTCTCGATAAATATATGCGGACTGTTACTTATCACCTTATTATCTTCTAGATCTTCGCAAATTGATTTCTTAATTATTTGCTCCATTATTTTTCCCTGTACTGAAGTTAAGCTGATTGGTCTGTAACTCTCCAGGTTGTCCTTATTCCCCTTTATATACATGGACAAATATTGTGCCATTTTCCAGTCCTCTGGAATCTCTCCAGTCTTCCATGACTTTTTGAAGATAATTGCTAATGGTTCAGTTATCGCCTCTGTCAGCTCCTTGAGTATTCTAGGATCTATTTCATCAGACCCTGGTGACTTGAAGGCATCTAACTTGTCTAAGTAATATTTAAACTTGTTCTTTCCCTATTTTAGCCTCTGATCTTACTTCATTTTCACTGACATTTACTATGTTAGATGTCCAATTGTTACTAATTTTTTTGGTGAATACTGAAACAAAAAACGTCATTTAGCACTTCTTCCATTTCTACATTTTCTGTTACCATTTCCCCCCTTCATTGAGTAACAGGCCTACCCAGTCCTTGGTCTTCCTCTCGCTTCTAACGTATTTGTGGAATGTCTTCTTGTTACCCTTTATGTCTCTAGCTAATTTAATCTCGTTTTGTGCCTTGGCCTTTCTAATTTTGTCCCTACATAGTTGTGTTATTTGTTTATATTCATCCTCTGTAGTTTGACCTAGTTTCCACTTTTTCTAGGACTCTTTTTTGAGTTTCAGATCATTGAAGATCTCCCAGTTAAGCTAGGGTGGTCTCCTACCATCCTTCCTATCTTTCCTACGCAGTGGGATAGTTTGCTCGTGCCCTTAATAATGTCTCTTTGAAAAACTGCCAACTCTCTTGAACTGTTTTTCCCTTTAAAATCGCTGGTGTTGTGAAGGAAGAAGGTTTTACTGGCATGAGTTTGAGATGATCACATCATTCACCAGTGGCAAAGCTGTAAGCAAATAATATAGGTTGTTCCAAATGCATGCCAATAAAACTTTGCTGTCACTCCATACCATGATATGTTCTGTATGCACCACATTATTAAAATATGCTTTCTTTAAAATGTTTTAGAGGAGTTTAAAAAATGATTATTGGGACTTTTTTATTCATCCAACTGTAAAGCCATATGCCTCCGTTGCCATAAATGCAGCTGTACAGGATTCAAAAGGGGAAAGAAATTAAAACTATTACATTAAAAATACCTCCAAAAATGGCCTAAATAGCTTTTCTATACAAAAATTCGTCACTCCTTTAAATCAAAATTCTGTAATCAACTGGAAAGCTAAGAATCTCCCCTTCCCAAACGTATAATGTTACCATTTCTATCTCTGCATGACAGAGAAATGTAAATTTATGACATTTTATGTTTAGAAAAACTGTTACTGGCCCACGATTGAATCCCACCTATCTTGGAACTCAGGAAAGGGTAATCTGAGGAGGGAGAGGAGGAAATTCCACATTTGGAAGCAAAAGGAGGAAATTCTTTTGTGGTAGGGTGAGCTGCAACAAAATGAGGGTGATTTGAAGCTGCTCATGAGTTTGGAATGTCAGAACAATTCCCAAGAGACGGCTTAGTTGGCAGTGATGTGGTCATAAGCATGTGATAAATTGTACAGGCAATTTTATCATATGAATAGCACATAGGCATATTATTAAATAGGCAAATGTAATTTCATTTGAATTTGCATGCCTGAAATCAAAATTAAGATGTGAATAACTAAATACATTAACTTTGTTCTACATTACTAGTTTTCTTCTAAAAACTTTTTTTAGCCAGTAAATCAGAAAATAACTACAAATACTTAAAGGAAAATCTTGCCCTTTCATAAAGGACATGACTAGGAGACAGACATGCCACTTTAGCACTTTACATAATGCCGTCATGTAGTTATAGGGCAACATAGCACAGGCAGCTGCTAGACACTGTTTTTCCTTTTGATCGAGGCAGCAGATGCTCCTGGCTAGTGTATGCTCCATCAACCAGGTAGTTGTCGGTGGGCAATGGACACACCCTTTATCTAACAGTCAGCATCCCTTTGGAACTATAGTGCGCAGGCCAACTCAACACCACATAGTCTTCAGCCCTAGGCAGAGGTCCTAGACCAACTACTTGCACAGGGAGGAAGAGATTCCCTATGTTTTCTTCCCCTCTCTCCACCTTGTGCAACAGCACAACAGAGGTTAGGATCTAGCCCTTATCCAATACTACAATATTAAATAATGCAATACTGAAAAATTCTCAGTAAGGAAAACAGGAAAGAAGGAATGATATGGCAAAGATTGAGCATAACGCTCAAATATGCAGTTCAGAACCTGTATTATTGTTAATTTATAGTTGATCTCATTCATCAGTACAGTATTACAGGTACATACATTTTAAAAAATATGGAGATAAGTTATTTAAAGAAGGATTTACTAATGGTGTTTATCCTTTAATGCTCCAGTTGACAACCGCCTGGGAGAGCTGTCCCTTTGCCTGTCATTTTCAGAGGACAAAGGGTCTTGGAATGATGCTCTAACTACCCTGATTCTCTAAGGAGTCATTTTCCTTTACGATCCAGAAGCCTCTCTTTGCAAACTAAATTGGATGTGGGTCCAAAGATTCTGTGGTAAACACACTTCACCACCTTCCATTCCAAGCACTCTAATGTAAACACACAGCTGCATTTATATATTTTAAAAAACTACCAAAGCAAAACACTACACCGCCCACAAAGAGGATGAGAGAAAAGAGGAGACCCACATTACATTGTCTAATACACCAGTGGAAGCACTGCGAAACAACAATACCAAATGAGGAAGATATAAATACCTATTTAGAAAAGAATAAAAGCTGAATCTTGTGTTTCCGTGTCCACATTATGGATTGCTAGCTTTCCATTGCACAGCTAGAGTTGAGTAGAATTTTTAAATGATGTCACTAAGTCTGTGCCTTAACCTCAAGGCCATTGTTTCAAATGTTGTCAGTAGTAAGGTAACTGAAAATCATTACCATCTAACAACTGTTTGGTGGCCTACGTAAAGTAATAATGCCTTACATTTCTAGAGCATTTTTATTCAGAAGATTCCCAAATTACTTCATAGACTGTACATAAAATTAATTTAATCCACTAATGAAACACAGTTAATCTACCCCAATTACACTATACAAACATTTGTGTGTGTGGGATAAATATAGGGGATTTAGACAGACAAAATTAGCCAGCTGTGATAGTCCAATGCCTAGTAACAGGTTTCACAATCATCATCAATTGGTATCCATGGTAGCCATTTTAGAGATGTTAGCAACTGACAGAGCATTGAATTGATCTATAGTAGAACCTCAGAATTATGAACACCTCAGGAATGGAGGTTGTTCGTAACTCTGAAATGTTTGTAACTCTGAACAAAATGTTATCGTTGTTCTTGCAAAAGTTTACAACTGAACATTGACTTAATACATCTTTGAAACTTTACAGTGCAGAAGAAAAAGGCTGCTTTTAACCATCTTAGTTTAAATGAAACAAACACAGAAACAGTTCCCTGACCTTGTCAAAAAAATTTAAACTTTCCCTTTATTTTTTAGTAGTTTATATTTAACACAGTACTGTACTGTTTTTTGTTTTTTTTGTCTCTGCTGCTGTCCAACTGCGTATTTGTGGTTCCAAATGAGGTGTGTGATTGAGTGGTCAGTTCGTAACTAGTGTTCATAACTCTGAGGTTCTACTGTACTGTTTCAGTCTAGTGCTGGTCACTACCGACCAGGAACGCAATGGGGAGGGGAACCTTGTACTGACACTTCTAAGAATGGAAGACATAACTCTTCAGAGCTGTAAATCCAGCATCTTTCCCAAGAACTAACTTAAAATTAAACACATTGTAAGTGGCAGAAAACCCAGAAGAGGACAATACTTCTTAAAGAAGAAAATGGTAACATTCAAAAAGAAGGTTGCTTTTTAAAATCTGATACTTGACTGAATAATATACTGTGATACAATTCAAATAAAAAATGTTATGACTTTCACAAAGAATACTATTTAAAACTGAGGCATCATGTGAACAGCCAGTAATATAGAATAATAAACTACACTGTGGTCAAAATAACTTAGTTCTTGTTTTGTGGGCTATTTGGGAGAATCATTTGTAAAATTCAGAATTTTTAAATGGCACCTACCTGTCAGTGAGGCTCCTCCATAGCTGTGCACCTGAAATAAGCAAAGCATAAAATGAAAAATAGCACTGATATATACAGCAGAACTGTTTTTTCCCTTCAATTTTTCAATAGTGCTCCAAATTACAGAAGAATTACGCTAAAAATCTCTGTAGTTCTATAATACAAGTCACATTTACCTATATTACTAGTAAAAAAATCATTCGCTCTTTCCATTTTAAATAATGGAGTAACATGCTTCAGAAAATCAACGTGTTTTCTGTAAACTTGATATATCAAAACAGCTTAAAATATTCATGAAAAATCAATGTACTTATTTAACCTGGTCTGTCTTTAAACTAGAATGATTAGATACCCAATGTAATCTAACTTTGTTATCCAAATATAATCTAATTTTGCAATCCAAAAATGTGACAATTATACTATAACAATTTTGCCATCTAGTGGTTGACTAGAGTTAAATAAAAGTTATTCTCCCACGAAGAGCGAACAGATTTTCTCTTTTAGTTCAAGTGGTAATTTGTTGATTTCAGATCTAAAAAGGTTTCTGGTTCAAGCTAAAAGACAGATTCTTCATGAGAGTACTCAATTAGTAGTTTTGGACTTTCCTGAACTCTTCCTCTGAAGTCACTGGAGACATTTTATATTAGCTCAGGTGAAATATGACTATCCAATATTTCACAATTAGCAACGTATAGCTTTATTGGCCTTATCTAACACTGCTGGAATGCCAAATAATAAAAATAGGAGTACACTCTTGCACTTCCAATCAGATCAGTAATATTTGGTGCCAAAAATGATTAGCTGGTACTCATTACTAAAGGTCACATAAACCTTGTAACATAACAAAAAGGCCTCAGTAATCTGAAGCAGCAGCACAAATAGGAAATATACTTCCTTTCTCTTCTGCTGCTTTTTAGGATATGCTTATACTGCAATGTAAATCCAGGGATAGCAGAACATGGGTTGGCAGACAAGATTTTATCAGCCTAGGACTTGAGCATCTATACTCATTTGTAACCCCAGGTTTGAAACTGCTGAACCCTGGGTCCCAATCTGGGGCTTCGGTGCCTACACTGCATTATGTGGGCCTGAGTCCAACCACTCATATCCCAGACTTCTTAGCGCGCCTCTCCCCCCTCCACCCCAAATGTGACTACTCTAATTCTTTGTTCATGGTGCAGTGTGAGAAAACATGACTGTTCACCAAGCCTGACTGTCCCGGAGGACAAAGAAAGTTGGTCTCTGGGATTGTGGAATACTTTTGGCATACTCCCACAGCACAAGTCCGGTGGGGCTGAATCTACAAGGTTAAGCAATAGGACTTGAACCTAGGTTCCCAGCTTAACTCAGGCTCCGACCCTCCACTCCCATAGGTATGTCTACACAGCAAAGAAAAACCTGTGGCGGGCAGGGGGGAAGGTCCAGAGCCTGGGCTCCAGCCCAAGCCTTGAAGTCTACATAGCAATGAAACAGCCCCGCAGCCCGAGCCCAAGACAGTTGGCATGGGCCAGCAGTGGGTTTTTCTTTGCTGTGTAGAAATACCCATAAAATCCTGGGAGGCTGGGTCCGAGCCCTGGGTCACAGTGATTTGTGTGTAGATGCAAGTGGGGTTAGGCTTGAGCCTGAGTTTGAACCTTGGGCTTACACTGTAGAGTAAACATACTTTTAGAGACTTTTTAGACACTTTGCAGGAAACAAGAGTCATGAAAAATGGGCAATGACATAATGAGTACAACTTTATTTTCAAGTGATTTTTCAGAGTAGAATTTCCTTTTAAAATTTCTTCAGAGATTACCAGTCACTTGTCTCAGAAATGTTACACATTTAGTGCTTTTACTACGACACATTACACACTCATAAAAATTCAACAAAAAATAGGGGCACCAGTTGGATGAGAGCCAGCATAGGCAAATATTTGTAAGTTAAAGGTAAATTACGATACTAATGATTGCCTTACCTTTTATCCGAGACAATACCATATCCTTCATTATCTGCATAATTACAACCCCAAGTATTATGAGAGAAGTCAGCTGATATACTCTCCAAGGGGTCAGTGCAAGGAACCTATGATATATTAAAAAAAAAATCACTCTGAATGTTTTAACTTATAGTACAGACTTACTTTATATCAGACCATGATTGTACCCAAACCTGAATAACCAAGTACAAACAAAATAAATGTATATTGACATTGATTTAATAGTTCCACTGAATTTGCTCTTCTCAGTGTCATTTCCAAGAAGCAAACACTGAATAATAGTATAGTATGGCCATTATACCCTGGCTTAAAAAAAAACTATATTTAAGCATCTGTTGAGCTTGATAGTGGAAACACTCTTAAAAAACAAACAAACAAAAAACAACAATCATGAAACATTTTAGCTAAGAAGCAACAAGGAAAAAACCTCAAACACAAAATATACTCAAGTGTTCCATGGGCATTTCCACAGGTTCTAGGGGGGAAAACTTTGTAATTGAAATTGTCTAGGCATTATATCTTAGGGAGTTCTTTTTTTTTTTTTAATTAACATGAACAAAGGGTAGGAAGGAAACAGGATAGAATGGGCTTGTTTACATGGTATGGTAGTGCACTTCAGTGCGGTGTGAATTCTAATACACACTTGCATGCTGCACACTAACTGGCCTTCAGAGATCCTGCTGATGCACACTAAAAGTTCCTTAGTGTGCATTAACAGTACTGTTTGAAACGGGTATTGGAGAACTTTTAATGTACACCAGCAGGGTCTACATAGGCCAATTAGCATGTGACATGCTCATGTGCATTAGAATTCATGTGCCACTGATGCACACTACCATACCCCATAGACAAGCCCTTCTGTTTGCTTATTTTTTAATACAGTATCAGCAACAACCCTAAATATCTAATCTATGGTCAGTCTAAATTCATATGGAAGTCCAATTACTTAATATGGATTGATCCAGCTTTATAGAAAGATTAGACAATTATATTGCTCATGGTATAATACCACAATTTGTTTTTAAAGAAATTAAGTTTTAATTATTTTTATTAATTAATTTATTATTTAATTATTTTCTTTTTTATAACAAAATGGTAACCATGTCCATTCAAGAGAAGTTGGACTTAGAGCAGGGATTCTCAAACTGGGGGTCGGGACCCCGCAGGGGATCACAAGGTTATTAAATGGGGGGTCGCGAACTGTCAGCCTCCATCCCAAACCCCACTTTGCCTCCAGAATTTATAATGGTGTTAAATATGTAAAGAAGTGTTTTTAATTTAAAAGGGGGGTTGTACACAGAGACTTGCTATGTGAAAGGGGTCACCAGTACAAACATTTGAGAATCACTGACTTAGAGAGTGAGCATACACTGATTTACCATACTACTGCTGATCTTGACATGCAAGTATGTATAGAAACGTTTCTCAAATAATTAGAATCTTCTCCTCTTTCACTGGCAGATCTTTCACTTTCCACCACTAGAGTTATCCCTACAAGAAATGATCGAAGGTTGACAGGATCCAAATTCACTTAGTGGAAAAAATATATTATTATACTGGAATATGTTAATGGCTCTCTACAAGAAGATCTTTAATCTATGAACACTAATAGACCTCATTAAAGGTGATGGGGTGTGTTATGCACCTTTCTTTCAGGTGAAACAGAAGGAGCAATTTAAAGCTCCTTTACATAGTGGTAGCTGAAAACAAAGGAAGCCACTGTCCAAGACACTTGCCCACATCATGTGGCCAAATAGAAAATAAGGTATATGAACTGAGGGTTTCCCAGAGACTGTGGACTGATTGCTTGCAGATGTTCGAGTCTGCATGCAAGAAGCCAACAGCAAGACAAGCTTTGGTGGGAGTGAACCAAGAGAAAGATCTTTTAGACAGATCTAACAGTACTTGTTAGAAAGGCACATTGGATTTCTAAGCACAGAAACTGCCTGGTGCTTGTTTCTACTTTGTTCAGAGAGACAGGATTTTATGTACAATCTTTGTAAATAAACTGCATTACACCAACAAAATACCTAATTCATATAATCAATTTCTCCTCCTAATGGAAACAACCCAACAAGGCCCCAAATATTAGTTAACCACTTGGGCCCAGAAGAGGGAACAATATACAGTAAACTCACATTCTGCTTATTGAAAAATAAATAAATAAATTAGCTCCAGTCCCCAACAACCAAGAAGGGTGCAACATTTAAAACAATTCCATAGTATATCAGGCAGATGATTCACCCAGAATTAACCTAGTGTGCTAGATTCCTCAGTGATTACAGGCATGCAATATCAGTGATTGTCTCTTCTCTAGTGAAGAAGAGAATTCTCCCATTGACCTAGCACTGTATACACCAGGGGTTAGGTCTGTTGACTGAGTTACTCAGGGCTGTGGATTTTTCACACCCGAGTGATGTAGTTATATTGACCTAATTTCCTAGTATAGACCAGGCCTCAGTGAGTCTCTCTTTCTCACACACATACAATGTGTCAACTCTGTAGGATTAGCTTTCTTGTGAATAGAAAAGATTTGAATTATAAAAAATAGTCACTCTGACGGTACCACAAATTGGCATTTTTGGTGTGCTTCAGCATACATGCTTGCCCGTAAGAAACTGGCAAGTGTACAGAGAATAATACCACAAGGTAAACATGCACCCTCTCTGACATGCAAGTAGTAGATCTCCTTAATTCAAAACCCCTTTCCATAATGGCTCCAAAACTATGTTGTCCCAATATTTCCTCAAACATTGTGTACCATGAAAACATCCTTGATAAAGCCTGAGTATTTAATCTGGCTGCAGTGAAGACTTGCCCTGATGCCTAAGTTATTGAAGAGACTGTATCTGGTGTGAATGGTCCACGCTATTCCCTGAGAAAATGGAGTCTCATGACCCAGTAGTCCAAGAAAAGGTATATTTGGACCTCTAAAAGACAGTGAGTAGCCACCACTGCAAGGCACCTGGGTCCAGATTTTCAAGGGTAATTAGGCATCTGAAGATGCAGATAGGTGCCTAATGGGATTTTCAAAAGCCCTTAGGTGCTCAACTCCATTGAAGTGAATGGGATTTAGACATCTAAGTGCTTTGAAAAAAATCTAATTAGGCATCTCTTTCCATCTTTAAGTGTCTCATTACGTTTGAAAATATGTCCCTTGGTAAAGGTCTGAGAGCCATGGCTACCCCAAACATGTACCTTGTATTGATGGGATCATTGCTTATTTTGAGCCACAATACTTCCTGTATGATGACCTAAGCATTGCAAGCTTACACATTTCAGTGAGTCAAAGTAGTCCTAATTAATTCTAATTTTTTAGACATTTTTAAAATCAGCAGGCCCAGATAACCTGTATCCAAGAGTGTTTTAAAAGAGCTGGTTAAGAAGTTCTCTGGACTGCTAATGTTGATTCTCAAGTTCTGGATCACAGGGGAAGTTCCAAAAGACTGGAAGAAAGCTAATGTTGTGCCAATTTTTTGATGAGATTACCAGTTTGGTTGATAAAGGCAATAACGATGTAATATACTTCTGTGAGGCCTTGATTTGGTACCACACGTCTTTTGAATAAAAAATTAGCATGATACAGAATTGGCATGGCACACGTTAAACTGGCTAACTGACAGGTCTCAAAATGTAATTGTAAATGGAGCATCATTGCCGCTCAGGTGCGTGTCTAGTGGGGTCCTGCAGGGATCAGTTTTTGGCCCTATGCTACTTAACATTTTTAGCAATGACCAGGAAGAAAAACTCATCATTCAAAGTTCTCAGATTGCACAAAAATGGGGGAATGGTAAATAATTAAGAGGACAGGTGCAGGGACCACAGGTCTTGAACACTTGTCCACATGGCTTTTCAGAGCTAGTAAGCTCCGTACTGTCACTCAGTGACCTGCTAACTGTTGTCAGAATAGGAACTGAACTCTGACAGAAGACCCCAGTCCTGGAATCCTATGCTGCCTGATTGGTTCACAGCTTCTATATAAACCCAGCACAGAAACAGGAAGCCGTCCAAGCAACTGTGGGTTCTCCCTTCTTTGCTTCCCTGGGCTGTGCCCCCTGAGATAGCTGCTCCTACTGCATGCTGCTGACCTCCTGGTACCCTGGCCCTGCCTTCCTCCTGATACCCGATTTTGGTTTGCCCTCTGGCCTGTCTTGGACTCTGACCTCGTGGTATTAGATCTGGCCTGACTCCTGCACCAACTACTAGGTGGTCAGACTGCCCACATCCTGGTCATGACACTTTGCATGGACCACTTAGGCTGCAGGAGCAATCCCAGTGCCAGCAGAATGGACCTGGCTAACCCGTTGGGAGCACTGGACACATTTGAGTGGACTACATGCCTTCAGATGGACAACCAACCCCTACAGGCCCGTGTCATCTGTCTGACCTCGGAGAACCAGCTATTGCAGGACCAAGTCGTGCAGTTGCATGCTGAAAACATCACCGTCCATATATGGCTCGTACAGCCCTGTTCCCCAATACCATTGCCAGAACAGTTTGATGATAATCACCAGCAAATCAGGGGTTTTATAAGACAGTGCTGCCTCCTGTTCAGGTTGCTCCCAGTCCCAAGAAACCAGTCAGTTACCCCCAAATCAACTGGTACCCTAGATCTTACACCAAAGGCAGCGCTGGTAGCCAATCCAAAAAAAGAATAACTCTTATTTACAGAAAGAACAGGAGTACTTGTGGCACCTTAGAGACTAACAAATTTGTTAGAGCATAAGCTTTCGTGGGCTACAGCCCACCTCTTTGGATGCATATAGAATGGAACATATATTGAGGAGATAGCTATACACACATACAGAGAGCATGAACAGGTGGGAGTTATCTTACCAACTTAAGGCTCCTGAATTTAATCCTGTAGGTTTCAGGTGTAACCTGAAACGGTTTCAAAATCAGCTCCTTAAATTTACCATAGTTTGAAGCATCATCAATAGGCATCTTATTAATATGTCCAGAGCTCTGCCAGTCAATTTTACAGGTTAGAGCAAGCAAAAGTTACTATCTAAATCCTAAGAGTGACAGAGTTGTAGCGATCTATGAATTAAAAGTATCTTGCAGAGCAGACCCAGGAGTCAATCCC